CCGCCGCCGCCGCTTCCCGTCCCTATGGCCGACCTGGAGCTCTTCGGTAGTCAGCAGCAGCCGATGGCGGCCGTCGATAACGGGGCGCTGGACGGCGCCGAGGAGGATCCTGCCGCCGCTTTCCTGGCGCAGCAGGAGAACGAGATCGCGGGCATCGAGAACGACGAGGGCTACAGTATCCTGGACAGCGGCGAGGTGCCGTCGGCGCTGCAGGTTCCGGAGGGCCCCGACTCGGGTACGCGCGGAGGGGCCCCGCGAGGGGAGGCGCGGCGTCCGGCGGGTGGGGCGGGGAGGAGAGCGGTCTCGGCCTGGCGGGGCTTCGCAGCTTCCCTTCTCCCTCGGAGGCCCCGTGACCGGGAGGTGGCGGTGCCGGCGGGGCCCCCGCCTCGGCTTTCTGTCCGGAGCACATGCTGCCTGTGAGCCGGGCCTGCCTGCCCGGGGATGGTCCCGGGATCAGGTCCGGGCCGTGCAGGCATGCTGCCTTGGTCGTCCTGGGTGTGTTCTGCCTCGTGTAAGTTATCTCTCTGCTCCCTCAAATGGGGTGGTGTTTATATCTCCTAAAGACGCCTGGGTGCCCAGGCTTGCTGAAGCGTAGCCTGTCGAGAACACTGCTGAGTAACACTGATCCCTTTCTAATCCAGGAGCCAGCCTGAAATGAAGATCCACTGAAACCAGAATAAGTCAGTAGGTTGTGTCCTGCCACTTGTGTTTCTGTCTTCAGCGGCAGCGATCCTAGTCTTAAAGTATGCTAGCAGTTGAGCTAATGTTTACTTTTACTAAGCCTCTAGCCTTTGTTCCTTGGTAACCTTTGTACTGAATGTGAGAAAACTGGCACTGCAGAACCCCGTTAGATTTAGAGGAGGGTGGCTATGTATGTTGGGAACTGGAGTTTAGTGTGTTTTCAGTTAGTCTAACAGTAGCTAAAGCAGCTCTGAATGAACACTTCTGATTACAAAAAGTTTAGGTTTTTTAGTGGAAGTCTAAGTGGAAAGGAGTTGTGAATGTAGGATGGTGCTGCACTTAACTGAAGTTTCAATGCTCTTGGAAGACTTTACTTATGCTTGTCACTGGGTCCATAGGAACATATTTGCTCTCATGTGACATTCCTTTGTCACTTCAGGAAGATGCCACTCTTCAGGCTAAGTTGAATAACTTTGCTCCCCGGTTCAGTCTTGGAACATCTTTAGAATTAAGTCTTCACCATGTAACTTGATTTCTGAAATTACTGGCATATCTTATGTATGAGCGTGCAGGATCATAGTATCGCTTGGAATAAAGCCAAACTAGATAAACTGAGTAATGGAGACCTGCTGCTTCCCGTGCTTATTTAGTGGTAGTGCAGCCCTTAGAGTCAGCTCATTCTTGAAGTTCAAAACATACAGACTACATACTTCCTGTAAAAACGGTGTTTGCAGGGGAGTAACTTGCTCAGGCACTAGAAATGAGGATAATCGTTATCAGAACACTATCCTGTTTTGATATCAGATGTAACTTGACTTCCATATTCTATGTATAGTGCAGAAACAGACACAGTGGACACTTCCCCTCTTACTTTCTGAAGCCTCAGACAAGCATTATGCCTTATATGGTCTTTACATTCCAAACAGACTCTGGAACGTTAAAGTAGTTCTTTGAGGACTAATTTCTTTGGAGAAAGTTCTGACATCAGCCTTTCTCACAAGGTGCTAGAACCAACTAGATCTGTACCATCTCTACATGCATGCAATGTGGCTGTTGCAGAGTGATTCCTTGTCAAAAAGTCAACTTGTTAAATACTTCTGGATTGGTTTGATATGTAAAAGTAGTTCTTCAGCTGCTTTTCAAGAGTTTTTTTTCTCAAGACACGTAAGTTGACTTATCATGGAATGCAAGACTGTTATTGGAGAATTTTCTCTAGAAGGAAGGTCATAAAATAATGAATATGGTAATATGATCTAAGGATCTGGGAAGTCGAAGTGATCTGTATGTCTTCTGCCTTGCTTGTATGCACTGGGATTGCATTTATTCTCTGGCCTGTTAAATAGGCATAGCAGGTTGTGCTTGTGGACTTCTGGTAGTCCCATTTTTTAGCAGAACATCCATTTGTTGACTGTCGGAGCCTGTACTTGCTCCCTCCTTGTTAAAAAGTGCGGACTGCAACAGTACAAAATGTAGTGGTTCAGGCATGATGACAAATGATCTAATGACTTCTGTTTCCATTTGTGTTTGAGGTTTCTTATCTCATTGGTATCCTAACAAATAGCAGACAGCTCTAGTCCATATTAGTTCACTGAACTGTTATGTAAGTATGTTAATTATGTAATTATGTTAAATAGGTGGATGCAAATTTATTCTTGAAATAATACAAAGTCTTATGTAAATCTGTAAGCATTGTGATCAGGGATTTGTGGATTTACTTTTTTTAACTGTAACCTTTTTGAACTCCTTATTTACAGGTCTGTTGGATAAGTTTTCTTTCTAAAGACTGGGCCAAAAGTCATAACTCAGGTAGCTCTCAGCTGAAGTTTGAGGATCTTAACTTCAAATATTGTGAGGAGGAGTCACCAAGTTCCTGAAATACATTTGTGAGAAACATGGTGTCTCACACAACAAACAGTTTTTAAATTGCAGCCTCTTAAAAAAAAAAAGTTTAGACAAATACATGGACAGTAGTGAACTCCATGAACTGTTAATATCAATATCAAAAACCTGATATTAGTGTATATTTCTGTTAATTGTAGTAATGGTGGATACTGGGTGAGTGTGGGGGGAACGGCAGAATGTTGCCAAGCTCATGTGTCTCACTCAGAAAACAGGAGGGACTGTATAAATCAAGTAATACAGTGCTGTTGCCTAGTTATTAGTAACTTGGTCTTTTATGAGATTTTGGTGATAAATCAATGCCTGCATTTGTTCACACTCAAATTCTTCAATTCTCTCCAGTCTGACTGTACTAGGTCTTCAGGTTATAGCAGTTGACTTGCTATGTCCTCTGAGCAGGAGAGAGTGAATTCAGGTTGAAGTGTGTGGCTTCTAGAACCTCTATGTCAATACAAAAACCTTGTGACAGCTTGTCAAGTAGCTTCTTGTGGAGAATTACATTCAAAGACAAGCAGTTTTAAATGTTAACAATCATGGAAATATGCACAGATTTAATGTAGGCTGTCTAGTCTCAAACACTGCCTTCACAGTTTCAAGCTCTGTCATTTTTATATGAACTTGAATGAATGAAGTTTCTCCAGCTTCTGAAGAGGCTCAGGAGCCTTTCTAGCAATTAAGAAACTTAACTGCGCTTGGTAGTTTGTCCATAAACCACATTTAATAGCCTTTCAGGGACTGATTATCAACTCACTTGAAAATTATTTAGGAAAGAATTGTTTTCTTCCTGTCTGCTCTAGTTAGCACCACAGACAAAAAGAGTTAACTTGTTTGTGACTATTGATATTTTTTCTTAATCATTTGAATGGCTATGGTTCTGGGTTTTCCTATGCAATCAGTATCTTGAGGCTTCAGAACACCATAAGGTAGGACTGAGAAAGGTATAATAAAGGGATGGTATCTGTTTAACTTGTATTTGCTGTCTTGTGGTGGTATTGCATTATTATAAAGCTCATGGCAGAAAAAACTATTTTTCTGTTTACAAGAGAATACTATATCTATTGGGAAATTACAGAAGCTTTTATGGCACAGCGTTATGGCAGAGAGAGGAAGATGTGCTCTAGTACTAGCCTATTTAATATATTAAAAATAAGGGAATTCTAATGAGTTTTGGTATGACAGCAGGTTAGAACTAAAACACAGGAAAAGCGCTTTTCCTGACCTGCTTGCCTTTATTTTGCACACAGGTGTGAGAATGAGTTATAGCTAGAAAACCTATTTCTGCCGCAGTTTCTTGGATAACTATCTAAACAAAAACTTTGGAGGAGATTTCTTCTTTCTCATCCTCTTATGGATGAGACATAGGTGAAGTGGAAGCATGATCTGTGCCCAAGGGAAAAAGGATAGGAAACTAGGCCTTGAGTGATGAAGTTACTTAACCTTATGCCAGAATATATTAAACTTGGTTATGTTCTTCTGTTGTTTTAACTATTGCTACAGGTTCACTCAAAGTAGCAATGAAGAAGTAGAGTACTTATTGTTTAAAAGAGATGTTGAAAGTAGGTCATAAAAGTACTTTTATGAATGGTCATATTGAAGTTCATTTCTCCATTTCTCCTGCATGAGGATATTTTCCAAAGCATAGCTGGGTAGGAAGACCTGAGGAGAAACTAATCCATGTGTTAAACTGTTGGACTTGTGTTAGAAGAGCTACCTCTCCAAAAAGGGAGCTCCCTCTGACTCTTCTGATAGCTGTTGTCTTTTGCATTGAGGTAAGACTTTCAGAGAGGCTAGTGAACAAGGCTAAGCAAACTTCCTTTTATGCCAAGTAGTACTGAGTCTAGTATTAATGCAGGTAGTTGCCCTGAGAGTAGTTGATCATCATTGTGATATGCCTCTGAAGCTATATGTTGACTTGTAGGACTGAAGTGACAAAACTGTTGTATTTATCTTCAAGCTACCCAGCCCTTTCTTTTGTAAGCTGTAGTATATGTGGAGGGCACTGATTCTAGCTGTCTGTTTCTGCCAAGCTTGGCTGTTATTTCTCTCCTGTGAATGCAAGGTAGCTGATAGGGCTTATCCTCTCCGAACCCTTCCAGACTCTGAAAACTATATGGGTTGCTGGGTGGAAGTTCGTTATTACTTATTGTCAGGTTGTGTTACAGAAATGTAGATGTTTGGATGTGTTCTTTCTAACAGTATCCTTAGAAATAAAGCTTTACCTTAAGTTCAGAAGCAAACACCAAGGAATATGGATCATTACTAACTAGAATAGTTCTAAGTGTGCAATGTTAACTTCAGGACCTTCAAGGTGCAATACTGTGATAGAATTGGATGGATTCTGAAGCCAGTAGAGAGCTCTTATTGTTCATGGCCAATAAAAACATGATGAGAGATAGCAGTAACAGTATTTAGGCTTTTTCTGTGGGAAGTTGGGCATTAAATTACATGTTTCTGTGGACAAAGAAATCTGATACACAGCTAGCATTGATTACTGATATGAAGGCTGGCAAGCAGATAGTTTTTCTAGACTTCATACTGAATTACACAAACACTGAGACTGGAGAGCTGAAATCAAAGAATGTTTGACTATTGGTCTTGTTCTGGTTAGCATACTTCCTTCCATACGACAGCATACTGGTACAGTGCCATTTCCTTTTCTGCTTGCAATATGCTCAGTCAGCATGCTGACTGCATCTTAAACACAGTTCCAGGGAGCTCAAAACAGATGGGAAGTTTGTTTTAACATCTTTAATGCTTCTGATGTGGGTGCCCTCTGGAAACACCTATCTCTGTGCCAGTTAGTGGCTGTTTCTATGCAGAATAAAAGCGGCCCTGAGACAAACATCTGTTTTATCTCAGCTGCAGCCCTCAGCAATGGTGGTGTTCCTTTTACCTCAGCAGACTACCAGCCTGAGTAGTGAAGACCTTAATGAATGTTTTTTAGTGTAACAAAAAAACTTAATCATATTATCACAGTTCTTGGAAGAATCTTTAAGACTTACTAGCCCTCTCACCTAGGTGGTGAGTCAGTGCTACCCAAGGAGTCTCTGTCATGAAACAACTGCCTTCCTTCTCGAGGTGAGAACTACATATATTTAAAGGCTAGCCTCTCTTGGGTGTTCTAGCAATAAACTTATGTCTGCAGTTTGATTGTCTGAATGTGTGAATTGCTCTCTGCTCTTCCAAGGTAAACAGAGTGGGCAGCTGGCTTATTCAAGCTGTTAATGTCAATATGAGTTATAGTCCCTGGCTTCGCTTTAATTCCAGCCCTGTCAAAAGAAGGTGAACAGCTGCAGCATGCGTCTGTGGTGCAGATGGACTTAAATTGAAGGACAGTGAAGTGTAGGCATGTTTTCTTTGTGGGCTTTAGTCTTCATAAACCTATTTAGTAGAACTGTTAATTGTAGCTGTAACTGCCCAAGTCAGTGTATGTGCAGTGATGTCTACAAATGTGCTCTGAGGGAGCATCCAGATTGATGTTAAGTGATGTGCAGGGTAGCTGCTGTGAAGCAGACAGAAGCTGTTAGCTTTACGTGCCTCTCAAACCAGTTCTTTCTAGCTCCTGTAACTTGCAGAGGAGTAGCAATTAAACAAAGTAGCTACAACCTTTCAGATATAGGAGTCTAGTTATAAAAGATGAGGTTCTCATAACTGGAAAGCTAGTTTTCGTTAACTTGAGTCTTCCCCTACTGAAGTTAGTAACTATGTTCTTGGAGACTAGTATCTTCCAACTTAACTACCATGTTTGAACTGATGACTTTACAGTCCTTTACCTAATACAGTTAATGATTGCTATTCAGAGCTCAGTGATACGGACTTAATACTTGCCTAGTTCCCTGATAAAGGAGTATGAAGAGCTTCCTGTGTGCCATTAACACTGCTCGTGTGAAACTGGGGCATACATAGCCACGAAGAAATAGAGGATACTGCAGCACAGTGCTCTTAGTTTTAGGTGAATTATCTATCTTATTTAAGAAGGTGGTGCAAAATAACTTGATTTTCTGCTTACTATTGTGTGACTTTGGTACAGTATCTTCTTTCATTGAAGAGCGTTTTAACATGGTGGAAACGCTTCTGTGTGATAAGTTTATCCATGGTGGCATTATGGGTGAGACAAAGGTAGTAACATGACTTGTTATATCACACAGGCAGATGTTACTTAGCACTGTTCCAGAGAGAAGCCTTCCTGAGATTTAGAAGTTCTGGAAAATCTTGGTATGTTTTGCATAGTCTGGAGATTTAAATAGTTTCACAAACTCAAATGTTTGTCTTGCAACTGACATATGTTCCCTATGGCTGTGTTTTAATAAGGTGAAATTTTAGGGTTCTGTGGCAAAGATTCCTAGACGATCCTGTTCCTGAGGCTCTACTGCCAGTGTCACTTCAGTGGGAGTAAGGCTGCAGCTGAAGTGGGAAGCTATCAAACATGTCATCACAGAAGGTAGCAGAAAGGTGACTTTGCTAGGAATGTTAGCTATATCTTTTGAGCTGATTAGGAATTAGGAGGTAACCAAACTAGGATAAGAATTACTAAGTGTTAGCTGCAGGATTGTTAATCTTTCAGGTAGAGACTAAAACTGTGAGAGTCATGCTGCTTAAATTCTGTACAGTTGTTGAGTAGTCACCTTCTAAGACAGGGAGGAGAAAGTGGGAGTAACTTTAGAACACTGTCTGTGGCAGCTTCTCAGCAGTATCAGCTCTGCTGTTTGTGTAGTCTGAAGCATGATCTCAAGATGAAGAAATGAACTTATATTACTGGTTCTGTAGAATAATGGCTCACTTGCTTTCTTGTGCCTATCCGGTAAAGTGCAGACATAAGGAGGTGACCCTGCAGGGTTCAAGTAACACTCTTTGCATAACTCCACATTAGATACTCTAGTAAAGCTTTCCATACAATTTACGGAAATCAGTAAATCTGGCTGTTCTGTCTTTTCTCAAATGGCTAAACTACAGTCACTTCTTTACAGGTGCTGTTGATGGAGTGGTTAATGGAGATGTCTATCAGGTAAGACAGAAATATTCCGTACTTAGAATGTGCTGTTCTACTCTGAGAACTTTACCTTAATCTAGACTAATACTTCCCATTTCTTGTCTCTAATGTACTTTTATCTCACCTCTGAGGAGGAACTTCTATTCTGGTAGCTTATCTCATAAAGCTGTTAATGCTCTTAATATGCCCCTCCTCTGAACTTAGAGGCAGCTTAAAGCAGCAGTCCATTTTGAATTATGACTTAATAGGACATAACCACTGTAAGCAGACTGACAGGCTCTGTTGTATGACTTAGTGTTGACTTGCCACTAGCTAATAAGCTGAAAGCATCCTCTGACTACCTAGTTTAAAGCCAAGTTTTCTGAATTACTTATTCTTTAAGGATAATTCTTGCATCCTGGTTGTCTTACCAGGATTCGTCTTACAAGGTGCTGACTGAAAACATTATACACTTAGGGATATAAAGTTGCATGAAATTAAGCTGCTGGCTAAATAGCTCGATCATAGTATGAAACCATGTTAGTCAGCCATGGTAATGAAGGAAGGAGGAGATACTTGCTTTATTAGTGTCAGAGAGGAATGAGGCATGAGGCAATCCCTGTGTTGTAACTGAATTTCACACCAGCTTGGTTAAGGCATTGTCATGGCCTGGTATCATATTTGGCTGGATAGCCCTGATTAAATGAATGCTTGGGAACAGGGCAGCATATGAGCTACTTCTCCATAGAGTTTTAAGTGAACACTGAGCTTTGTGGAGACACAAACAGCTTTCACTGCTGCTAAAATTTTTATATTCTCACCATTGCTGTGAGATTGATGAGAAAAGGTGTCTTACTGGCCCTTTTTGCTTCCTTATACAACAGAAGGTAGATGAAATATCTTGATTTTCTGTTTGCAGTTCTAAGTGACCAGCTGCTTTGGTTGATAGAACTTCATCTTAATAAGGAAGAATAGACTGAATGGGCTATATATAACTTTTGTTTTAGCTACTTGTAACTAGTTTGGCCCTGCAATTGGCCAATTCATTTTGGGTTCGATTGAATGTGAAGCCTGGTGCTGTTGCACCATCCTAGCTCCTTCTCTTTGCATTATTCCTTCATTGAGGGCTACAGGAGGTCCAAAGAGGGGCAAGATGCAGCTGAATCTGTTGTCAGCTGCAATCTATGTGGTACTGTCAGGAGTGGTATTTCTTAGGTCTTTTAATAGTAGGGTGAACCAATAAAAGTTGTTGGACTTGGAGTATCCTCTGTGGTAAATAGCACAATATTCATTAGCTTTGCGAATCTGGTGTATTGTCATAGCCTTTTTCATTGCAAGTCTTTAAGCTATTGTATAGTAAAAAGTATGCTAGTAATCACGCTGTTTTGATGCTTAAATGTTGAAATACCCCTTGTGTTCTAAGCTGCACACAGCAATCTAAATTCTGTAATATCTTTAAAGGACATTGGCTTTTCATATCAGTTCAGTTTGCAAATGTCTCTGAAGTAGACAAATAAGTTACAGAGAATGTTTTAAACTCCTGTGCATGAAATGGTAAAAAAATAAAATTACTTTCACAGCAAATATTAAGGTGAAATTAACTGGATGTTCTCTAGGCCTACAACTGCATAGTGAGGTGCTAGGCATTGTCTTCTGCCTTCTTCAGGCATAGAGCTCTGGCACAGTTTGACTTCGCAGTCAGCTTGAATTTGTGTTTGATCATTGATTGCTGAATTAATGAATTCAGTCCTGAATTAATTTGCTTCAATCCTACTATAGTTTGTGGCAAGACGTTTTTCATGTTAATGGTGGAAATGTGTTATGTGCTCAGTTCAAATAGTCTAATTTTATGTAGCTAGTAGGCAGTTATCTGAAATATTCAGTTGTCATGTATAAATGACATTACTGTTCCTTCCCTTTAAGGAGAGTAATGGTCCAATAGACTCCTATGCTGCCATATCCCAAGCAGATCGACTGCAGTCAGAACCAGAGAGTATTCGTAAGTGGAGAGAGGAACAAAAGGAGCGTCTGGAGCAACTTGGTAAGGGGGGATGTTTGTTGCTGTGGTGTTCTTTCTTGTGAGTAACTTAGTGGCAGCTTCTTAAGCAGCAGAATTCTCAACCATGGCTTCTGGCTTTTGGGAATCTAACATGCTTCTTGAGTTTGAGCAGCAAGTCTGGATGAGTCTTCCAGTAAGCAGACTTAATACTGGTGTAGGAATTGGCAAGCAAGTGGCTTTCTGAACCTTAAGAGTATTCATGTGGCCTGCTCTTTACTTGCAAATAAGCTGACAGAAAATGAACAGCTTTTATCAGTAGAAAAGAGTGAATAAATACTGTGGCCATCAGCACTTTTTTCAAAGGATAAAGTTTGCTCATTTTGTAATTGCTGAGGCTGTCTGTCACATGGATCTTAATCTAATAGCTAAATTAAGTAATGTACTAGTAACTAAAATAAATACTGTTGTCAAATGCAGTGATACCTACCTGTGGACAGCTTCTAAGAGCCTACAAACTGGTATGCTTTCCACTTACATTAGGGAGGAGGCTTTGCTTGAAACTGTTAGGACAGAATCTTCTGTACAATGTGAATCTGGATAGAGCTGAGCCTGTTGCTCCTCTTCTGGGCTAGTTACAGCAGATACATGTCGAGTACCAGGCTAACTTTGTCTAAGCACAGAGGCTTTACTGAGCTTTGTTCTAGCACTAGCATAGCAAGGTGACTTGTTTCTGTTTCTGAACAGTTTGCAGGCCAACAGACTTACTGAATCAGTCTACAAATACCTACCCTAAACTGAAGTGGACTGTGCCAGTTCTGCAGCAGAGGCATTCTGTTTGGCTAATCCTCTGAATGTTCATGATATTTAAGAGTTCTCATGGCCTAAATCAGGAAAGCTCCTAACCCTTATCTGAGTAGATAAGCAACTGTCTTGTACTAGAGTGCACCCTGAGCCATCAGCTGAAATGTTAGCAAGATCCAGCTGCAACAAACTGACAGATCAATTCTTAAATCTTCAGATGCCAACTCACGGAAGCAGGAAGCAGAATGGAAGGAGAAAGCAATAAAGGAGTTGGAGGAGTGGTATGCAAGGCAAGATGAAAAGCTCCAGAAAACAAAAGCCAGCAACAGGTAAGGTTTCTCCAACCATCTGAAGAGTTGTGGTACTGGATATGAAAGTAATGGGGGAGGGAGGTTAGAATACTTCTAGTATGTCCTAATGCACTAGTCCTTCAGATCATTAGAGTAACCTCTCCTACTAAGAAATGGGTCTCCAGTGGTAGACTATCTTTTTAAGTTTTTTTAGAATCTAGATTAAATGTTCAAGAATAGCAACAGAAAGCATTAAGATAAGGAACCAGAATTGCTGAAGATTCCTTAAGACACAAAGTTTGAATGTGGCCAGAAAAAGTTTAATCTACCCACTTGTTTGCATGCTTCTAGTGCACAGGTCTTCAGTGACTGTAATTACCTACCTTGAGACTAGCAATCTTACTTGCTGTCTTTGGAACACATGGAAGTGGCCTTCTAGTTAGTCTTTGCTAAAAGTTATTTCATTAGATATCTTAAAAACTTTGGCTGCTGCTTTTGGAAGTGTTTGATAAATAACCTGGCTCAGTTCTGCTAGAGAAGAACTAAATGATGACTTGTGTCTATGTTAGGTTTGAATTGACTAATTATGGGCCCTGGGGCAGAAACTAATGACTGGGCTGCTGGTTTAGTAAGCTCTTACACTTTCTTAGAGGTTCCCTTTGGAATTTTGACTACAAGCTACATAAAGGTAAATGTGATAGTACTGACTTAATACTACTTGGATCTCTATTTCTGACCTAGGGTTGCCAGTGTAATTCTGTCCAGGTAATCGTCAGGGTTGCTTTATACTTTGGGAACCCACAGACTTTGAGATGAGTTGTTTTTTTGAAACACCAGTTTTCTTATCAAAACGGCCAGCAGGTTCGTCTTGAGTAAGTAGAGTCCTAGGTAGACTCTACTTCTTACTAAAGGAAGAAAGGAGCCTATACTTCCTACAGAATTACAGATTTGACACTGCCTTTACTGAGGTACAGTCTTTTGGTTGGGCCAAGAAAGGGAAACAGGATTGGCACTCTTCTAGTTGGTGGCCAGAGCTCATTATAAACCCCATAGCTTTTTATTGTGGCCAGTGTTGGAGTGCAGGGTATGCATTCTGGAGCAGGGTCCATTTAACAACTGTTGTGCAGAAGGAGTGTTTGGCATTCTCATCAGCCTGGTGAGATCTCTCTCCTAATGGTAGTTTCTGTCCACTGGAAGTAGCCTAATGCTAACACTGGGAATCCAGTCCTAAACTAGCTGGTCCAAACTTCTAGGATGTAGCAGAGCTTTTGTGTTGCCCCTCTGAGGCAATGGCTTAATTGATACATTCCATGTGGTAGCTGCTTTTCTGTTACAGTAAGCCTAGGTGATACAAGGCTAATGTGCTTGTTAAAACTGCCTTCAGCTGTGTTCCATACTTCTCATCCTTATCTCTTTTCTCCTGCCTGCTTGCCTGCCTGTTGGACTACTTGCTACCTAGGGTGGCAGATGAAGCTTTCTACAAACAACCCTTCGCTGATGTGATTGGTTATGTGTATGTTGCTTAACTACTAATTCTGTTTGCTAGTCACCTAGGTAATGGAGGATCAGAAATAGTGCTGAATGCCTGAAGGTAACTTCTGAATATTTCAGGGCAGTATAAGCTAATAAAAGTGAATAGCTTTTACTTTTTAGACTGACTCTGATCTGCAGTATTAAGTACAGTTTTCCTGTAAGGATCCCATACACTGCACAACATCCAGCACTTTCAGATTAAGTCATGTAGTATACATAGCACTAGAATTTTGGTAATGACTTCAGTAGCCTTTAGGTGTAAGGGTTTACAGTTGTTTTCAGGCCAGTGAACACTGCTTAGCAAGATGCTTTGCTGGGTATGTGGGTTAGCGTCTGCAGTCTCAAATGGGTGCTGTATTTAGTCCTAGTCACTTCTACAGAGAAGCACAAAGTCTAACTCTGCATTCTCTGTAGTATGCATTGAGCTCCTGATTGGTGCTCATTTGCCTACATAATCAGAAAAATATTCAAGCAATGCTTGCACATAAAGCTCCACAAGCCAAGGAAGGTAGAAGGCAATCACCTGCTATAAAACAGGGTAGAAGAGGTGTGTGCATATAGAAGTAGGATGCTGTTAGAGAACAGATGAAAAGTACAAGAGGGTGGTATTGGAAAATCAGCATTAGCTGCTGGGGGAACATTTAGGAGCAGCTCTGTGTAGACATTTTGCCAGCCTAATAGATCAATGAGAATATAGCCATGACTTTCAAGCCCCAAAGAGTATGCTAGGTTCTGTGGGGTGGAAGGATTGCAGTGTTCATTGGCTTGTTCTTGTATCTTAATTTCTTTCCTTAATTTGTAGTCTTGAATTGAGTGTGGCCATGTCATATTCTGAGGTGACACCTTTAGAAGGTGTATTGGTGAGCCATGGCGTGGCTTTGAGTGCATTAATGTTGAAGGTCCAGTGTGGAATTTTACCTAACTGTAGATGGATGTAAACAAAGACTTGTGAAATGATGGATTTACAGGTGGTGGTTGACTTTTCTGAAGTCTTTTGGAGTTGATTTTGATAGATTATTTTTTCAGATAAACCCCTTATTTTCATATATCCAATGCAAATGTGCAGTTTAAGTGCTGCAGAATGAAATTGGCAGCCTGTTTTCCTGAATGTAGGCTAAGCTACTAGTGCATGCTCAGCCAGCTGATCATCTGCATTAAACTCATTCTCATTTTCTGTATCTGACTTAAACTTTCTCTCCTTGTTTCTTTTCTTCTCTTCACCTTTAAGCACAAACATAAATCATCCTTGCTACAGCCTAGAACAGTTAAGTAAAAAAATCTTCACTGCCCCTTAAAAGCGTCATGTCACATAAAGTAGCAGTGTTGTAGTGACCCTTGTCTTCAGTGGTGTCTGTAACCTTATCATCCCTGTGAACAGTGCTGAACCCTCATGGGAGAGTCATCTTCACTGCTTTTTCTGTACTGCTTGTTGGAGTAGATGGATTTGGTTTGATCTCTTGATGCTTACTGCTCTTGCACTCAGGCAGCTCCCAAAGCCCCACAGTTCATGTAAACCAGATGCTGCAGTGTTATCCCTCTATTAAAGCAATGCTGTTGGCAGCATAGCAATGCCAAAATGATACAGCTGGGAAGCCACTGGCACTAACCTGTACATCATATACAAAGCCTCCTTAGAGTCTCCTCAGGGGAGAGCAGGGGAAATGTGTTTATCCTGTGAGCTGACCTCAAACAAGTCATCTCCTCTGCCAAGACATGCTTTAGCCTATAGCACCCACAAGCATGTGATTAATGACTTAAATTCCTTTTGATTCATGCTGCTTCACTACTGCATTGGGAATCATCAGCAGATAGTTTTATGATGGCCTGTAGGCCTTTGGGCTGATTTAAATCCTCAAATGGAATCTGTTTTAAGACATGCTTGCAGGGAGTTGTAAATTTCCAGTTGGCAAGTGTCCAACAGAAGCCATGAAGTGGCAGAGGCTAGTTAAGACTTGGGCATTTCTCCATAAATAAAATGCCTATGTAGGAGTATTTGACTTCCTGGAAGTTTGTGTGGTGACTCCTTAGGCAAAGACTCAATAGCTGTTCTTAAAACCAAACACCTGTATTCCAACATTTTACACAGCAATCCTCTACACTGCTTGTGCATAGCATACTACTGCAACCTACTTTCATCTCCAGGGTTGGGGCAGTGGGAGCTTAAGTAGCCATAATGTTCACAAGCAGCTGTCAAGTCACATTTATGAAACATGCTGAAAGAAACTGCATCCTGTAAGAGGGAAGAAGTGCCTTATATGTTGGGCATTAACGCAAGGTGCATTGCATTGCTTTTAGGGCAGCTGAAGAAGCCTTTGTGAATGATGCAGAAGACATTTTTCCAGGCACTGAGTGGGAACGTGTGGCTCAGCTCTGTGACTTTAATCCCAAGTCTAGTAAGCAGGCAAAAGATGTGTCCCGCATGCGTTCAGTTCTCATCTCACTCAAGCAGGCTCCTCTGGTTCGCTGAAGGAGAGCGCAATGGAAACACTACAAATGCAACATCTTAACCTTACTCAGAGAAGCTATGTTTGCAGTAATTGGATTAATTGTTTCAATGTTTTTTTTGGACCAAACCTCATGATGTATCTAGAGCTGATCATTGTTTGATTGCATGTTCTTCCTCATGTTTCCTTTCTGTGTCTGAAATGGGAGAACCTCCAAAACTGTAGTCTCTGTGCTATTGTGCACTGAGATGTCACTTCCCACATTACTGATATTAAAGATCTGTTAAACAGAAAAATGTGTTGACTTTGGATTAATTAAGAAAGTCTCCTTCTCCCTTTTGACAAGGGGTGTTTGAATTCAGTGTGAGCAAGCATTTCTCTTAATTACTAATGATTTCACCTTGCTAGTGACTGACCAGCCAGCAATGTTCCTGGTCTCTTGAGAGGCTGTCCTGTTTGTCTCTATAAGCTCTTGAGACCTTTAGTTTAAAAACTGCTTCCCTATCCAATTTATCATACAAGATAGAAGCTCTAGGAAACTGGAGCAGCAGGCTTAAGGAGCTTACCTCACTTCCAGTGGAACTGAGGACACTGCCTTCTGAAGGTAAGCAGTTCTCTGGTTTTCTGCTGTCACTCCAGCTGCAGATCTTAGGCTAGAAATACATTACAGGGCACTGAGTAGTTAAAGCCTTTGATATTCTACTGCATATTCTATTTGCCATGTAGTCAACACTGGCTTCATATGCAAAGTCCTGTTGTGCAGAGGCTTTTTGGGTGTGTTTGATCTGCATCCTTGTCCTTACTAAGTCTTGCAGATGCTTTCTTCCACCAGTGTGGTGGACTGGAGATTTGGAAAGAAGGGAAGACTTGCTTTTACTGCTGCTCATCTACTGGGTTGGAGCTCTGTCTGCCAAGGTGGTTGAATTTGAAACAAACTGATCCAGAAAATCTCTGTTCTGCTGCCTCCTTGGCTCTCTAATCTCACCCAGCATTCACAGGGGCTGTATTCTAGCCTTGCTTTGGTAAGACTTACCTTAAGTGTCTGTCTTGTAAGAATAGTCTGTTCAGTCTCATACATTATTTTACCATTATATCAAAGATACAGTGGCTTAACTAGTGTGTAGCAGAATTGCTTTAATACCTTTTGTGTACAAGCCGGAAGGTTAGTCCAAGCAGCTTGAAGAGGGCTGCAGATGCAGATTAAAACTTACTAATGCTCATGGAGTTGTTGCACAGCAACTGTCTTACTAGCAGCTGTGTCCCATTGGTGAATAAGATATTGAACAAATGGTTGCCAGTTGGGCTTCAATAGTTAAGGTGTACTTTACTGTTGTCTGTAGTGACTGGAGCTATTCCCATGTTTGCAAGTGTATTCACAAGCTACTGATAAGTGGTGATGAAAATGAAAGTAGACTACAGGTCTGGAAGCTTAATTCCATGGAAGATTAAAGCAGGAAAATATTTTCTGAACTGCACAGGGATACCACAGGTGAGTTTAATAGGACTGAAGCACAAAGCAAGTCCATAGAATAGTGATACTCAATGGTAGCCTTGCCCAATTATGCATGCACCTTGACTGGAAACTTCCTTTCTTCTAGTCATCCCAAAGCTCTGCAAACAAAGGCTTCTAAAATGGTTTGGTAATTCAATAAACAAAACTCCACTGCATTAAATACACAATGTTTAAAATGTTAATTTCAATTTACTGGAATTTGAAAGATCAGATTAGAGGGGTTCCTGCACACTGAGTTATGGAACTGATTAATCAAGACACTGTCCTATCTCATAGGACATTTTATCTGTGCTAAGGGCATGGTTTTGAGCTGAATCCAAGAAAATGGGCAAAGACTCTCAAATTCAAGATGAAAGCAATGTTACAGAAGTTAAAGCAGTGTTTTATAAGCTGGGTTTGCAGGTGCTAACCATGTGTCTGCAGTTCTCTTGTGTATACCATCTAGCTGGAACACTTAAGCAGCTCTTTGGGTTTTGGTTACCTCCTAGATCTTGTGCTGAGATTTTGTAGATTCTGTCTTCTGCCTTAATTTTATATTCAAGCATGCTAGCTCACTGGCTCCCTCCTACCTCCTGTATCAGTGCTGTTGCAGAATGACAGAAAGGCTGAGGTCGGAACGGACCTCTGGAGGCCATCTGGTCCAATCACCCCTGCTCAAGCAGGGCCATCTAGAGCTGGTTTTCCAGGACCACATCCAGTCAGCTTTTGAATATCTCCAAGGAGAGAGACTACCATCTCTTTGGGCAACCAGTGCCAGTGCTCAGTCACCCTCATGGTTAAGAAGTGTTTCCTGATGTTCAGGAGGAACCTCCTGTGTTTCAGTTTGTGCCCACTGCCTCTGGTCCTGTCACTGGGCACCACTTAAAAGAGCCTGGCTCTATCTTCTTTGCACCCTCCCTTCTATATACATTGATAGTTCAAGGCTGAACAATCCCAGCTCTGCCAGCCTGTCCTCATACAAGAGATGCTCTAGTTGCTTAATGATCTTTGTGGCCCTTTGTTGGACTCTCTCCAGCATGTCCATGTCTCTCTTGTACTGGGGAGCCCAGAACTGAACCCAGCACTCCAGGTGTGGCCTCACTAGTGCTCAGACTTTGTGTCTGAGAATTATTTTAGATACTTAGACCTTGTGGCACTGAGCAAAAGAATCCTCAGCTTTATCTGGGCCAGTTAGAGCCCTTGTCTGTGCTTCTGAACACTGACTTGCTTCCTTCAGAGTCAGCATCTGTCAGTTTTGTGACTTCATGTGACAATTCTCTGCTTCTGGCCTAGTTGAGCATACTCATTCCTGTTTACTGGCCTTAACTTCCCACTGATGCTGCTTATCTCCATAACATGTAGCTGATGCAGAAAACTGAGTTAGTGGAATCTGGAAAAAAACCTGGACACTTCTTATCCTTCGAACAAAACTCCAGATGCATATGCACAAAGATCTCATGCAGCATTGAGAGAAGCTGCAGACTCCTGCTGAATACATCCTGGTATAGAACTTGCTTTGTTTAGCTTGTGATCAGGTGGCAGCCAGCACCCAGCCAGTCTGAAATAATAATAGTGTTTGTTGAGAAGGGGGGTGGAGAGAAGATCATGGGTTCGTTAGAAAATGACAGTGTTGCACCTTCATCCTCTAAGCCTGAGGAATGTGGATAACAGTTTTAAGTAGCCATAAACCAACATGCTATGGCTTGCTTGTTTCTTGCTGATTTATTTTTTTCTGAGCAGCTGGTAAAGATGGAAGGATATAGTTTACTGGCTTGTGTTTTAGAATGGACAAGATGGGTGTCATCTTTGCCAGGAAAGAATTCCTCCAGCAGAAACTGTCATGTGGGCAAGCTTGTTCCTCTGCAGAACTGTTGTGCTGCAGCAGCATGCTGTGGCACTGGGTCATGGTGTGCCTGGGGCTGCAGGGTATCTGCAAGATCCTCAGATGTTACAAGGTTACTGACAACCCAGGCCTTTGTGGTCTGACTTTGTAGGGGATGGTCCATGTGGTATGTTCTGGTCCCACAAAGGGTGGGCTACTCAACACTGTTGAACTCGGGAGTGTTTAATTAGTCTTGCATCAGTAATGCAAGTTTCACTGACAATTATGTGTGATTACAGTGTTGCAATGCCTTTGGCTACAGTCACAAGCACACATTTAATCTTTTGCTTCACCTGGCTGTTTACTGGTTGCAGCTGGTTACCATGTGTAGGAAATTTACCTGGCCTAAGACATGAGGTATGGATAAGGTAAAATCCTACTAGCTTTTTAAAAAGTGCTGTATCCATACTTATCACATGGTTGTGAAATTGAAATTAAAAATAACGGAACCTTTGGAAAAAAATCAGGATATTTCTTCAAAATTTCTCTTTCAATGCTGTCTTCATACACTTTAATTAAGCACAAATTTGGCACTGTATTTGCATTTAGAATTTCTGTGTAATGTGCTTCATGCAAAAAAAGCTGGAAGTATTTGGAACACCTGCAGACACAGAGTTACAGCAATGGTAGTCTAATAGTACAAGCAAGGCAAAAGTGGTGTGGAGGTGTGTTCTCTTTTTAGACTAATGGAGAAAAATGTGTGCTTTCAAGCATGCAAAGCTTTTTTCGGCTAGCAGTAACAGCCTAATGGTAATTTGTGATTTGTTAAGGATATAATCGATGTCTGAGTGAGGTTAGAAGGACAGCTGTGAACCCAAAAGCTTCCCTCAGTTATGACAGAAGCTGTATTACTTGTCTTCTCATTGCTTTGCTCAATCTGAAAAAGCAGTTGTCTGATTTTATACCAAATTGCAATGTACAAGCAGTAGGTGGTTTGGGCACTGCAGCAAAGTATATGGTTTGATCTTTGATCTTGTTTTGTGTGAACTTAGCAAATGAACCAACTGAGAAGTGCTACAACTGTATGTGCAAACTTAAGGCTTAAGAAAAATTTGGCTGTCTCTGTCTTCTTCAGAATCTCACAGGCATTTTCAGTTGTTACTAAAATATATTATATGCCCACAGTGCAAAGCATCTGCCTTCAGCTTAAGCAAACAAACATAGCTTTGTGCCAGACTAAAACAACTGTACTAAATACATGGCTTTAGCACCTATACTTCAGCTGCCAAAGCACTAGTTCTAATGTGCCTTTGGAAAATGGTTTATCAAACACAATTATCTGGAATAGTCCAAGGGCTGTACAGTCCAGGTGTTTTACCCTAATGCCTGTAAACTCTCTACACCATTTGAAAGGGACACAGTGATCAGATTTCACTGATGGAGATCAAATTATAAACTCTGTCTGCACCTTCTTGTCTGAGATGTGTTTCTGTGATACAAACTTGACATTGCTTCCATTGGTGGTATGTCCAAGTTTCTGATGATTTTGATACACTTAAATGGAGGAAGGACAGTGCTTCAAGACCACCAGAAGGCCTGAGGCATTTTTTAATTCTGAGCGTCTGGATGGCAGATCAAAGACTCAAAATAGTGAATAACTAAACTTGCTGCTCAGAAGATCAAAAAGAAATTCCAAACCTTGATGCTGTACTGATTAGCTATGTGGCTTGCAAAGCATCAGCAATGATCTGTAAAAAGATAGCTAGCAAAACTCAGCTGGCCTCCTCACAGTCCCAAGTCCTGGCTGGTTGGGTTCCTAAGCTTAGGCAGAGCAGGCTTTTTCCACCAGATGCAAGGATGAGGAGCAATACGATATAGGGACTGGCAGAGGTCTTACATTGGTTATGTGAATTATAAGCTACAGCACTAAGAACTCCAGTTTTAAGTCACTTTCCAACCTTTTGGTACTCTGCTGTTTAAGTACTGCTGGTGCTTGCTCATGCAATGCTGATTGATTATACACATGCATGTGCATGAGTGGTCTCCTCCTGCCCAAGCTCTTGAGTGTGATATGCAGTTCTGCTTAGAGGGATGGACAGTGCCATTCTGGCTAAGGCTTCAGCAGTTATGATGCTGCATGCACTTACCAGGCCCACTGCAAAACCAAACCTCCTCCTACAACAGATAGTATTAGTTGATGCTGATAATAGCTGGGGAAAGAGTTCAGCTGTTGGTGTGTGTTTTTACTCCCTTTCTTCCCTCCCAGTAATGGATTTATAACCATTATAAATATCCAGTGAAGCTGGTTTCCCCTCACTTTCATGGTATGGGCTGCTCTAAAGGACATAGGGCCAGCATCAAGTAACGAGATAGCACAGTACTGCAGATATTCTGTGAATATCTGATGTTTGCTCCCCTCGGACTGGATACAATTGGGAGCTAGTATCTATAAAACCTCTGGTCTGCAATGAAATGCCTGAACTGCAAGGGAGGTTTCTGAACAGGGGAGGAAGGAAAAACAAACAAAATCACTATTATGCTATTAAATATGCTTTTTATTCTTTCTGATTTTATAAGCCCACAAACTTCTCGGAAAACTGCAAGGACTTCGGCACCATTTGCACATATGCAGCAGGTTCTTGTCTGGTTGACAGAAAAAAAACATTTTCAAAAGCATCTGAAGAACCATTTTCTTAACAAGACTAGATGTTAAGCATTAGAGTAAAACTTTTCAAATTTGTTTTAGTCTTCATGTTTTTTCTATGTCTGTACCCTCCTTTCAGCTGCTAGGGAAAAATGTATCTGGCGTCTGAGATGATATCAAAAATATAGAGCTTCAGGAGGTCTGGAAAGCAAAAGCCTGGTCTCACTTTTAGTCAGGCATTCCCTGTGATGCTATGGGATGGAAAGATCAAATGACAGGGCTGCTCTCTGTTAGAACCTCAATACTGTTGCTCCTGACCTGAGCTACTATCACCATAAAACAAAGTCCATTTCTCCTTGACCTGCTCATGAAGCTACTGCTAAAGTTAGTGGGAATCACCAAGGAAGCAGACACATGGGAAAAGGAACTAAGAACCCCTGGTGACATAAAGCCCACTACAACTTTGCAAATGGTTAAGATTTAGTATTTGCTGATTCTGAGAAAAACTATGGTATAGAGGCTGGAGACATCAAGAAGGAGATCTGGTGGTGTTTGTAAAATTTGCTATGAAGATGCGAGTTCTCAGTAAGCATTCCATGCAGAAGAGAGGATGACGTGAAGGCAACTTGTGTAGATTATAGCCCAGAATTAGCCAGTAGTGTGGTTCACTATACTAACAGCTATTCAGTCCAAGATTATTGTACAGCAGAGGGCAGTGATTGCAGAAGGCCATTTCATTTTGGTTGGAAAAGGTTGAGTGTGGAAATAGCCCCTTTTGTTCCCCTGTACTAGTACTTTACTGGGCTTCTGCAAATATTATCAATGGCCGAGTTAGTTAGATGTCAAAATAGGCCATTAAAAGCAGGACAGAGGATGGTCTTGTGACTGTTCTTCCACAGGTATCTTCTTTCTGAGATAGCTGATCAGTTAGGTGGGTCTGTTTGTTTTTCCCATTTTTCCTTGTGTCAAATAGTTATTACTGCAGTATCTTGGAAGTATGCTAAAAAGCAGCTGGATAAAAAGACAGAGCTATATATCAAGAAGTACTAGTTAAAGAAACATAAATCATGGTTTACCTAGGCAAAACTTCATTGGTATGTGACATACTTTGCTCCCAGGCTTCTGAATGTCTTGAAGGTGAGGATGAGGCTCAGATTTGACTTTTCATCCTGCGAGCTGATGGTGAATGCAGGACAAGAACAATGTACCTGCAGCTACCAAAACTGCTGAGGAGATGCATTATCTCACTCTGCAGTGGAAAAGTTTTCTTCAAAGGTAAGAGTCTTTATGATCAGATGTGCCACATCTGACTACCAAAGAATAAACAGTCCCCTCTGCTAATCTGGCAGATGAAGTCCCTTGAGAAAACCCCAAACAATAAAATTCAAGTAATTTACTGTTGGCCATAGCCAGAAGACAAAGATGCTCACTGCTACACTTGTCAGTTTGTTTGGACTCCTCTGCAGGCTCTAAGCTCACTAGACCACAGTCTTTCTCCTTCATATGCAAAGCTTCTAAAACATGGGACTCTGCTCTCTAAAGGTGATGTAATAAATAACTGCCTCCACCAAGTCCTTCACAAACCACAATTTCTAGATGCAGCCTTTTTATTGTAGAAGCAACTTCCCTCATTTCCACCCACTGAAATTACTACCTGGTGATTACATCATATTTACTTTGCGGGTAGAAGCCTGGAAACTGAAAAGCTGGTCACATTATAGACTTCTCATTTCACAGAGATGCAAAATGAGATACAGATCCCCAAGTGTTAGCTATAATTTGACACACCATACACATATTCCCTACCATACATCAAGATATGCTCATAAATAATTCAGCCACACTTAAAACAACATATGGACTTACCAACAGAGGTGATTAAACACAACAGAATTGCACATTAGTTCCTATGAAGTCAGATGAAATTTAGGGGAAAGTACAAAAAGATAATACCTCAATTAGGAAATGCTGAAGTAGTCACTAACTATTCAGAACACTATTCTGATTAAACAGCTGCTCTCATAAAAGGAAAATTTGAGGCAAAGTATTTCCTCCACCCATTAGGAATTTGAATAGTCCTTTTCTATAATTCTTCCAGGTACCTAGTATATTCTACGTGTAGTATAATCCAGTACCAGGCTAGCAGCTCCAAGAAGAGCAGGATCTGCTAGATTTGAGACCACCACATCCACAGTTTTAACAGAGGAAAGAGCCTGTCGATTTATGACATCTTTGACAGCATTAACATAGTGGCTAGCTAGAACTCCAGAAAGGATAACAAGAGAGGGGTTCATGGTGTGCAGAATGTTCACAACTCCAAGGCCTAATGCTGTCCCAGCTGAAAAGATAAAGTAAAAAGAAATTAAGTAGAATACTCAAAGCAGTCCAGGCATCAGTAGTTGAAATAAGTCTGTTAGCAGCAAATGACACTGTCAGAAAAGCATTCTATTCCATATGGGAGACAGTTTGGAGTTTACGTTATCAGACAATATGAGTTTGCCATTAATTTTTCTTTCAAAAGTAGAAGACAAAAAGGGCAATTTTATTGCACTATAATGCATCATCCAATGATATGGCTGTGAAAGACAAAGCAATGCATTACCACACTTGTAAGCTAAGAGAAAATAGGAAAGCATTACTTTACCATCTTAGTGCTATCAGCTATGTACAAGGAAGAGGACTGTATTTAAAGCTAGTAAAACAGTAAAATATCCCATGTAAAGTAATAGGTAAGTTGCCTTTGCTTGCTCAGACTAGCCATTCACTTGCCTACAGAGAAATGTCCCCAAATTTTCCAATATGAGAATGTCGAGACCTCACTGTTTTTAAGCTGATCTTTGCAGAAGCTTTTCCTCCTCTCATTTATTGGAACAGAGACTTTTAATACACACTTCCTCCAACATTTATATTTAACATTTCATTACCATTAATAATTTTTACATAGAGAGGTCCTCAACATGTAGAGTTGTGTTTGTAGTGTTACAGTGCATTACGATTTCTGTATACCCGAAAATAAAATCACGGGAAGGTTCCACCTTTTGGGCTATGTTCTCACCTGTTCTGAGAATGCTGTCTGCTTTTGTGTTCCCAAGTTTAGCTGCTTGAATGAGATGTGCAGCGCTAACAACCTCCTCCTTCTTCATTGACATTCCTTCTACTAAAAGCCGATCCTCTGTTTGAAGAGGAGGAAAGAAAGCCAAGAGAAAAACACGGTGATGGCGTAAGTCAAGAAATGGAGGGTGACAAACAGGCAGTTAGTTAAGATCTTTACATCTCTTTTATTTTCATACTGAAGCCTGAAACCTGAGCAATCTGTCCAACCCTCAGTTTAGCCAAAGTGGTCATATCCATATTATTCAGTGAACTGTAGAGGCAGGGCATCAAACTCAAACAGTTACAGTATGGTAATTCACTAGTCTTTCAGCCCCAAAAGTTAATAAAATAAAATATGTGTTCTCAAACTTATCTGAGACTGAGAAATTATTGCTGAAAGACAAACACTGTGAAACCAAACTTCACAGAATGCCCATCAGATTACCTTACAGCACACTTTTTAAGGAGAGAGTAAACTGTACTACATGTTTCCAGTCATTTTGAGACCAGTAGTTCCACATGTGGCTTGCCTGGGCATTGCCATCACTGAAAAAGAATTGTACTATGCAGGTTGTGGCAGCTCCTGGGTTGGCCATACACAGGAATCCCATCTAGCTGCCTGCACACCTGTTCTTGTCTCCTCCTAGAAAAAGATGGCAGGTCTTTTCTTAATATAATTTTTGCAAATTTCTTTTTATACTGCAATTTAGTAATCGTGTTTTCAAAAATAAAGTACATAGATACCATCATGCAGTTTCTTAGCTTCTCTCTGTAATGCTATTCCAGAGGCATATGCTTCTATACATCCTTGGCTACCACACAGGCATTCTGGTCCATCTAAAGATACAACAATATGCCCAAGCTCAGCAGCACAGAAAGAACTGCCATGGATCAATTCGTGTTGATGAATGATTCCACCTCCAATTCCTGCAAAGATATGAAAACTTCTATGATTAAACGCCCCCCCAAAACAAAACCAAACATAAAATACAGTTTTTAGAGGCCCCAATTCTGCAGCACATTGACATTTGCTTATTCTAATACAGACAAGAAAAATATGTGCATCAGTGGTCTTCTGTACTGGAAACCAAAAATTACTGGTTATTGAAGAACTCTTCTCTATTCAACACACCTAATAAGCAAGTTCATTGCTCCCTCCTATTCATTCATGTATCAAAACGGTATGTAATGCTTCTCCTTTCTTAAAAAGCCTACAGATGGTACTGAACTACTATGACAGATCTTTTAAGCTCCTGAGTCATGCTCTTTATGCACAAAACTAACCTTTCAAGAGGCCTTAAAATTTTACATTTCAGAGGAGATATTTTAATGCTGTATTTAGATGGCTAAACCTGTGTGCTAAAGAGCCAGGACACTTAAATCTGCAATCCTCTGCTGCCCCTTCCCAAACCCTGGGTGGAGTTATTACTGCCACCATTCTAAAGGACTATATACATAACAAATAAGAAAAATTACCCCACATTTGCATTTGAGATGTAATAAGCATCACGTCTCATAGTCAGTTGCTTATCTTCTAGATATATATCCTGATCTGACTTGTATTTCTGCAGCTGGAAGAGAATTAAGCTATAAAGCTGAAAAAAGCAAAATTATTCCAGCTAAAGTTGCTCAGATTTTCCTTATTTTGAAAAAATGGTTTGCCTGCATATCTGTATCAGCAGAACTTCTTTTATCAAGAAGCTTATACTATGCAAAACGTTTCATTTGCCTGAATAAATTAAAAAGCACCCTAAAAGAAACAAATAGAGTGGCAAAAGGATTTTTGGTTTAAGAACCTAATATATTAGGGTTTTCCAAGCACAGTGGTGGTGTTTATGCTTTCAAGATCAGCTGAACTTCTGACTGATGGTGCTGGTATTTTGAGTTTGGGTTTCATTGAACTATAATATACCCACCTGTACCAGTAATGAGTGTTACAAAATTTTCTATTCCTTTTCCATGACCAAATTTCCTCTCTGCTAGTGCAGCACAGTTTCCATCATTGTCCACCCAGACTGGCAGGTGCAGAGCATCAGATATTGGAGTTCTGAGATCCACAGAGCTCCACTCCTGAATGAGTTTTGTAGAGTGAAGCACAATTCCTTCTCGGGGATTTACCCGTCCACCTGTGGAAATACCTAAGTCCCAGAAATACAGGAGAGAAAAATCAAAACTAAGTCTGTGTAATACTTTAAGATCTATTTTTATCTTTGCAATGACAAGTATTTTTATTTCTAATACTAGGCTTTGAAGCAGAGCGTGAAAGTAACAATTTCTTAGTATTACTGGCAGTGCAATTTCTGACATGTAACAATAATTCATAGAACTCAATTGCTCTAATCACAACGCACCCAGTATCTTAAGACTAACTAGATGGGTAATGGTTAGTGTTAGAGAGTTAATGTTTCTACTTCAGGCAAGATTGCAGCAAATCAGTTAATACTTGTGTTTCTTTTTAGTCATCTAGGAAAGACATACAATAGCAAACTGTACAAAATAAATTGTTCAAACCCTGGAACAGTAGAAGTGTCCTGAAATTTTCTGTAACTCTCAAGATTTAGAATGACTAAAAATAATCACTGAACTTTGAGTAGTGATTTCTACTTAAAAATACACTATTTTCCAGAAAAATCAAGACTCCGTTCAGAGATTTGTCTGCTGAACAGAATAATGGCTAATAATAGGCACTATTAGCCAAACCAGTTTCCTCTAGCTGGAGAGGCTTCCAAAGTTGATGGACTCTGTCAGGACCTTTGAAAAGTAGGCCACTCTATTATGGAGGTATTTAGCTGTAGACAACAAAATTTGAACATTTTATCTATTACTGTTGTACAGAGAGTATGTAATTGTCACTTGTCTAAAGACATTCAGAAAAAAAAAAAAAAAAAAGAGTCCTAGGGTTACCATTATAATAGAAAGCAGCCACAAAAGCTACAAGACAAGCAGCTGAATTTGAACATTAAAGCTGTAAGACCCGCAAAAAATCTCACTTTGTAAAGACCAAATCATCTGAGAACCTGTCAGCATGTATCTAATGGAAATGACATTCCCAATGTCAATCTCTGAAGGTCTCCCTAGGATTTTAATAACCAAATGTTTATTATAACAAAACCTGATTTAATACTTAGTTGCTAACTCAACAATAGCTGATTAACATGTCTACTTTTTCTAAATGCCATAATTCTGTAACTGATGTAAATGACTATGGGAATTAGCAGAAGCTGTCTCTTCATCCTCTTTTCTCTACTGTCAGCTCCAGAAAGGTAACATAAAAACTGCCTAATAGCAGTAAATAGATAGCACTCACAAGTACCTCTACACAACATTTCTGTATAGATCTGGGTCTCCTTTGGCTTAAAATTTGTGTTTTGTAAAAGTTAAAAAAAAAAAAAAAATTCAGTAACATTGGGCCTGATACTTTCCCCTCATTTTCAGAAAGCTGTTTTTAATATAAATGCTTTGAGTAAAAAAAAAAAAAAACCCAACAAAAATAACAAAATTGAAACTAACTGCAGAGCTGTTGCAATATAGACTTATTTGGTGAAGACAAAAAGATGTTGAAAATTATTTTTTTCAGTCCTACTTTTTAATCACCCCGCAAACCTGTTTTGTATTAGTGGGAGTTCTTCAATCAGTTATGTTCATGTAGCTAGTATGTTGTGTGCTGACAGCAGTTTGCAGGACTAAAAGGAGGAAAACACTTCTTCATTGCTCTCTGTTAGTAACTCTTGCTCCTCATTCATTTCCAATGGTTACTACTTTTACCCTTACCTATGATAGCTGGAAAAACGCCAGTGTTACTGATAAAAGGTCCAGGATTAAATCTAGCCCTTCTGCTCAGTCTTGCAAAAACTTCTCCAATGTTATGATTATTAGTCTTAAGAAAATTACTAGAATCTAATACATTAATTATTCCCATAGGAATTATATGTCATTGTCTAAAGAGAACTTTAAATTTCAGGTAGTATTCTGATTCAAACTATGGGTCTGAATGAGGCAAAGAGCAGCTAACAGAAATAGCTAGGTAAAGAAATTTCTTATTCTGTAGCACAACTTTTCACCTCATTACTCAGTAATTGAACAGTAAGCAATCGGGAGGGGGCTGAAGAAAAACAGGAATGTAATTCTTGTAAAATGACAAACAGAAGGGAAGTTTTTTTCCCCATATATAAACTTCTGTAAACCAGTTTATGGTTTCATTATCCTAATAAATGTAGCTGACTAAACTGTTCTGAGATACTTGCAATAGTGACTACTGCAGAATTTACCATCTTTTCTACAGGAACTATGAGGCTTTCAAGATTTAGTGTTTTGACACAATAAAATAATTTGGGTGGTTAAGTCATGTGTATTACCAAACAGTCTAAAAGATTTGATCTGAGGGTCTTGACATATTTCTTCTTATGGCTTTGTGTATTTAACATTGTTTTGAAAAATACTTTTAAAGAAAGTTCAAATTAACTTTTCTTTGTACTGTGTGATTCAAGTAAGTTTTGGTCTGGAGCAAACTACTTTTCTTTTGGAGCATTTCTCAGCTAAAATGGGGATTTTATGTCCTCCTTAAAAATCTGGGACACACTAATTTACAACTTCATAAATAACTGTAATATCTAAGACCAAACCTCCCAGTCATCATTAAACTGACGAATTCCTGTCTGGTAGAAAGACACAGTTTAACTTGGAACTCTACGACAGTGTAAGTAAACCAGAAGTCAATAAAAGGCTGCTTTTGTCTCTGTTAACTGCATATTTAATCTAACATTTTAGCCTTTTCAGTCTGCCCCAGTGTAATTGAGAATGCTGCTCCACAGTTGATCCTGGCTGTAAAGAAAGGCTTACAAACAGTAGAGGAAACGTGACTCAGCTGCAGTTGTGAGACTTCAAGGAGCTTCAAAATCCACAAAATCTATATACCACACATTTTAGATATAGTTTAGATATAACTCAGCAGACTGCTTTTATGGCTGTTATGGCCTGGGGCAACTTCAGTCTTTATAGTCAGCTTCTCATTTTCACATTTAAAAAAGTTTTTGTGTTAAGAATGTAATTTAAGACCTTAAAAGGCACAAGATCTGTTTTAGAAAAGTATTTTAAATTAATCAGTAGTGATTTCATGTTGAAAAACTTAGATGAAAAGACAAAGTTAGTATTTGTTAACTTACCTACTCCCAAAATTCTGCAGTTCACATTTACTGCCTCTGATGCAGCCTCTACACACATCTTTAGAATTAATTCTAGTCTGTCTTCGTAAGTTTTAGGGTTGAGCTGGGTATACTTCTTAACTATTTCACCCTAGAAATTAAAAACAACAAAGCATGCCCCACAGAAATGTACTTCATGATGAAATTTCTCTTCAATTTAAAGTACAGGTCAACTTGAAAACAGAGAGTCGTAACTTCTCTCTTCAAAAGAAAATACAGATGCATGCCTTAGATCTTGGTCCTACGGGCTGTTCTGTGCAAGATTCCTGACAACTCTGGGGGACAAGTTTGCAAGATCAGGCATTACATTCTGCTTCTGTAATCAACCTCCCTTGTCTGAAATAAAATATGTATTTTAAGGAACACATGGATTGTGTAAGGAAATATCACAGGAGCTACTGGAACTGTCGTTAGGAGTAAACCATGATACCACAATGCACTTATTAAGCTCAATACTAAAGTGTTAAAAAACCTCGGAGAGTAACAATTGCTAAAAAGGACAGAAAACCCATAGTGCTTTAAGAATAAAATGTTTCTAATTTGACTACATGACAGTTTTGCCTGGTGTCACAGATACTGCTATTTTACCAGCAGGAGGAGAGTCAGCCAGAGAGAAATGGTAGAAATTTCCATGCAAAATTTACTGTCCTTTCAGAAACCACTTTTTTCCTAAGCAATTATACTGCTGAGTCAATTAAGTATTTCTGACCATCCACTGTGATGTATGTTGTATGTGGAAGGGACAGTCCAGGAGGAAGGGATTATTTTCAACCCTAGGAATCATGCAGTGGTAATGAAAGCATTCATTATGCATGCCTGAATCTGTGGGTACTAAGGAACTAATCTTAATGTAATGTTAATATTGCAGGATTAGGCCAGGAAACTTCTTAGCAATGTTATTCTCCCTATTATATTCCCTGTACTCTACAAGGTATCTAGGAGAACGGCATTGTATTAATACAACTAAGCAAAGAGGAGTAACAAAGACAGTCTATATGCAACATAGCTGAGTCTATGTTGCCAAAATAACATAGAAAATTCCAAGACATCAATGGTTTGAGTATTAGATCCCAGCACCTCAGCATCACATCAGCAATAGGATTCGGGGATTTTTATGTTTAGTTTCCTCTTTCCTTTTGGTTTGGAGGGGGAGGAGGATCAGAGGAAGTTATTTTGGAAGACAAGGCTGCAGCAAACATTATCAGAAGACACAACAGCTTTTAGAGGGAGCTTTTGAAAACTCAACTTACTTTCTTCATGAAAAGAAAAACTCTGCAAAATGGGACAGGATTTTTTAAAATTCATTTTTTTTCCAGGCTGTGTTGGCAGAAAATGTGGTGCCAATTTTACTTTGAAAAAAGCTGTACTCCTAAATGAATGCAAAAATTCTGGGCCATATCAGGTCAATTTACATAGCGCTTCATCTCTCTATCGTCAACTTACTTTTCTTTCTGGGTAACTATGTCTAACTGATCTAGTTACCTGGAAGTATGCAGTGTAACGTTAGAAGTAATTGTCCAGTGCAGTTGAGAATAAAAGCCAAAGACTTCTCAACATGAGATTTATTCACATCTTTAAAGTGCTGCAGAGTTCAGGATTTTTATGAGTTTTTTCCCCCCAGACAGGAGGACGGATATCTAAACAAGTTAAAATTCTTCAGTCCTAACTTTTTTTGATAAACCTTTCATTTATCAACCTGGATAAGAATTATTTCAAATATTTTTATACCATCAAGTAATTTTTATCCCATAAGCGTGAAGCTCACAAGTTTAAACAGAAATTTTGTGGGTTTTTTGTTGATCTGGATAATCAGCTGATAGTCATGGATGTATTTACTTGTTCCACGACAAGATGCCTTTGCAAGTGATCTGGCATCAGATTGATACTGATGCCATTTTGGTAGCCTTACCTGCTGTTTTTTAAGACTTCAGTTTTTGTTATGTTTGCCAAGCATGAACTTTCATCTAAGTTAGCTGTCAAATATTTGTAATATGTTATCTATGACTGGCAGAGCTATGCAAGCAATGCATACTTATTAATGCTATTACACAGGCAAAGGAAAGCTTCCTACTGTGCCATTACCAGAGAAATGGGTTGAAGAACTTCTAAGCATGGAGACCATTAAATCACGCAGTATTCCTAAACCGGAACATCTCTCCATACAGCCTTTACAAGGCTGTAACCTCAAGCCTATTTCAAATGGGTTACTTTTACAGGAAGAGAGGCACTTCAGACTCAAAACTCTAAAGTCTCTATGAATTCTAGTGTATGTATCGAATTCTACTTATTCTGATGATGGTATTAAATCATCAAGCACCTCCTTCATACATGAAAGGACACAGTCAACACAATTAAAAAAAAAACAAACAAAAAAACCAAAAACCCTGATAGGAATTTTAGAAGATCATCATAAAACTCAAATCCACTACCCTTTTCCAATGCAAGATTAACAAATGATAATTCAGCTGGTTTTAAGAGACCTTTTTAAACCAGTTCCTACCATTTGGGCAATGAAGACACCATACCCGTCCAGACTATCTATTCTAGCCTTCTCTTGTATTGACAGCTAAGCTGGATAGTAAGAAAAACTTTAAAATAATTTTCCCTTCCACTGTTTTAACACTTTGCTACTTGTTCATGCACAAGGGAATCTGATTTTTCTCTTCATGGAAAAGGCTTCTACATATCTGAAGGCTTCCCCCCACTACCCCCTGACGGTTTCCTCCTCTCCAGTCTAAACAATTCTAGTTTCTTCAACTTTTCCCTGTTTTCCATGTCTGTAATAATTATCATTCCTCCTCCTGATTCTCTCTCCAATTGGTCTACATCTCTGTGGTGTGATGCATTACTGTGAACACTGTTCCAGCTAAGGCTCAGTACTGTCTTATGCTTCTGATTATGATGCTTATGATATGCTTATGATACTGATTATGCTTCTATGCAGGAAGGTACTGAGAATTTTTTATTACTGTCTGTTCTTCTTTTGGTAGAAGAGATGCAAAATTCTGTACCCTGAACCCCACCTACCATGAACCCACCACTCTCCCTCAGTAAATTGCTATGCTAGATGCGGGTTGTTGCTCAAAATGGTTGTGGCTGTCCATAACATGGCTGTGTAAGGCAGCAGGGAAGTAAAAAAAGTGCTCTTGGAGCCTTTCCCTTTTTTGTTTGACATATAAAAAGCTGCAGGGTGAACTGAGTCACCTTTTACAGGGAACCAACACATCTGAAAGTTGTCCTGTTCTTTGAGGTCTGTATGACTTCCCACAGACAGGGAACAGCAAGGACCATGGACCAGCAAATGGGGCTTTGCTAGTTTAACAGCAGCAAGCCAGCAGGCAAGTTGTATCAAAACTGTATGAGAGGTGCAACAAATGAGGGAAAATCTACTTTACCCCTCAACAGCAAAAGCCAGTAAGACTGCTTTGTTTTGGAGCTCTTTTGCATCATAAGCCCGTATCTCCACTGTAGGAACAGAACCACAAAGCCCAATGGAGTTTGCAGAGTATCTAAAAGCACAATAGAATATTTACCTTCATACTGACAATTGCTACTCGGAGATTTGTTCCACCTAGATCCACAGCCAGAGCACTCTGTGTCTCTAGAATATGGTCAATATCTTGAGAAATATTATCTTTGACAGGAGGAAAACAGAATTTCTTTTGCAATGGCTCTTTGAGGTCAATAGATTTAAGGAACTTCAAAATCCTTGGAACAGCATTACCATCTCCATATATTTTTGAGCTATAATATGAAAAAAAAATCAATTTAATTGGAAATAACACTGCAATCTACAAACTTCTTTATATGACAGAAGGCTGTAACACTGTGTCATTACAAAATGATGATATGGCTACTGTAACAATACTGCAGCTAGCAGTACTTGAGTCTGTCATGGGATACGGTAGATAGCATCCCTAGTTTGAAGATCACACAACAGACAGTGCAATTTTGGCATTAGCTCCATTTTGGAATATGAAACATGGAATGTAGAAACCTGGAAAGCTACTGATGCCAAAGAAAAAAAAAAAAGAAAAAAAAAAAGAAATTTAAGAGTTTTAACGAAAGGACCCACATAATAAAGCTCCAAAATTATGGAAAGTTTATGTATGTGCTACAAGTCCAGACAAGATGTACTGACCACACTGATAGCAACTATGTAATAATAAACTGTACATTCCTATCAGTTTTCAACATACATGTCGGTTTTATAATACCATCATGCATGGTATCAGACATTTGGTATTACTGAATTCAGTTTTATTACTCTGTTGAGGTTCTTAAGAAATACACTTTTGATTCTTGATTTTAATTAGACAAATACTATCTCTTGAAGCTTATTAAGAACTTATACATTAAAGAATCGAGGGTCAATACTGTATGGCTGAAGAATAACTAAAAGCATCATGCTATAATCCTGCAGCTCCCCTGGAAGCTTGCACTCAGAACTCTCTACATATCATGCCTGAGGTCAATCCAGCTATGAAGTAGTGTGTCCCTTCAGGCACAAGTCAGAGGTAGGCAGACAGGATGTCCTCCCCAGTGCTGCTCCTATAGAACAAGCTCTCTTAATCATGCTAGTCTAAGCTAGCATATGAATTTTGTCTTCTTGACTTTCTGTTGGATGTTAAAGTAGTAGTTATATCAAAACATTACTAGTAACATTTTGCTCTGCAAATACTAATCTGCATACCAGGCACTGCACTATGATTCTGAATGAGATACGGGAAATTAAAAAAAATCTGTAACCTCATATTAGTGCACTAAAGGCAGTCCAATCAAATATGATGAACCACCTTAGGACTAAATGCCTTTTACTCTACTGCTCCAACATCCCCTCCAATGAAGCAATACAAATGTACTTACCATGGATACTGTTTACCAAACTGCAGCTGTAGAGCATGCAGAATCTTGTCCTGTGTATCAGCATCACGAACATGAAGAACATTTTCACCTAGATGACAAAATTTAACTTAATAGGACAGGTCAGCTCCTCAAAATACATTAGAGGATAAGAACTGCTTTAGAAATGAAGAAATAATTATTTTTTTTTAACTCTGAGCAGGACTCCAGCCAGATCGCCATCACCCTTCATCAGTTATGTGCCTCCCCTTACCCCCAATAAAGCAATGGTGACTCCTATGAGATGCTTTCATGCATTACAAAACACTAGAGAGTAGAATATTAGCCTTCAACAGAATTCTATTATTAAATAAAAAATGCACAAAAGAAACCAGGGGGTAAATGGCTATTTGTGTCATATCTGCCCATCTGTGAAATACCACAATACAGTTACTACCTAAAGTGGTGAAGAGTTCGTATTTTTTAAAGTGAAATTTTAATACATGTCAAACATCAAACTAACTATAAAGGAAGACAATTAGTTGCCTATTCTGCTAAATGGAATCCACTGCAAATGGAGATATATTTGAACTTGTCTATAGATAAAAGCCTCGTTATCTTATGTAAAACACACAAGCAGCACTAACAGAATAAAGGAACAGCCAGTGAAGCTTTAAAATGAGTCAAAAATTATGATGCACTGATACTGCAAGATGGCCTCTGTCAAGCATTCATTTGACTTTATCTTGTGGAAGAAAAAAACCTCAGAAACATGAGGAAATTAAAGTAGTTAAACAAACATGTACCTGTTTCTCTTCCTGTCTGACGTGTCCCCAGGTTAATGACAGGGGTACCAAATGCTCCCACCTCTCTGACACCACAACTGCTGTTACCAATCATACAGCCAGCATGAGCAACTAGCTGAATGAACTGGTCAAATGGGACATGCTTTACTGCCCGAAAATTGGGATGATGTTCAATGCCCTTCTTCCTCATCACCCGAACCATCTCTTTGCTTCCTACAGAAAAACAAGAAGTAGAATAAATGATTCAAGTTCTGTTGTTAAACTGAAAGTCCAAGCCTGCAAAGGAGCTAACAGCTGTTCATTGAGTTGGCAGCTCTGAGTTGTTTTTGTTCTCTTTTTCTCCTCACAGTGTAAGTTGCAGAGCTGGGCACATAAGCCCAAGTTTTATCCCAAAATCCACTGCAAAAATATTTTTGTAGTTTTTAGTTAATTTAAAAGGCACTAATATTGCTTCTAGATGTCACATGGTTTCCCTCCATCTTCCTCCCCACACTAAAAAGCTGAAATGTCCTCCATCAGTGTGAACATGGAGCTGCAGGAGATGCACGTGTGATGCTGAGACCATCCAGCTATTGCCGTCTGGCTGGAGGTTCTGGGATAAAAGAACTCCATAAGAACTATGTATGCTTCAAAGACAATCTGTTATGTGTCCCTCTGTCATGAAAGTATTTTACTCACCTGCATCCACATTAGGGAATAGAACAAGTGTTCTCTTGTTGAAGGAGATGAGTGCATCTAGCGTCAGCTCAAACATCTTTATGGAATGTTTAATATCTGTGGTTACAGGATGTTGAAGAGCAACTATATAATCCCTGGTTTTGACATCTTCACCTGTCCAAATGAAGCCCAGGAAAAATTTTTTATTGGCATAGAATAGTAAGAGGAAGGGAGGACATACTTTTGAAACTACTGATGTGAAAGCCTGAACATTCAAGGCACTGAAAGGCATATATCCAACACATGAATTTCAATGCTACAACAAAACTTGAGGGAGTAACAGGAGGATCTAGCTTGTTATTTGCCTCTCCAAGCAAGTCTCATAACTTTAGAGACCACTACCTAAACCCCAATAAACACTTAACTTGCAGGGCTACATCTAAAGCTTTGCCAAACTATACTAGGGTCAAGAGCCTGTTCTCACACCAGTGTGAATCTGGAGTAACATGAAACTCCTGAAGCCGCTCAAGTTTTCTGTCAGTTGTCCAGCCTCAAGCAAAGACTTCATTCCCATTGCTTTAAAAAAGTCGGTCATACTTGGTTTAGTACATTTGATAAAAAACTTTATCTGCAAAATATTCACCTACTGATCTAAGAAGATTCCAGCTTCTCACTACACAGGTTAATATGCCATATAGGAGATTGCTTTGTCAAAGATAAAAAGCAATACAAAACCCCATTGTTACATGAATTATTTGTAAGTCAATGAATATGAAACACCAAAAGACTTTGGCGCATGTTGCCCTGTTGCAGTGCATTCCTCAAAAGAATGTTCTTATATTATTATAAATTACCTTTGATTTTTTTTTTAGATTAGCCCTGAACAGCTTTGATTCCATTTAAATACATCCTTTACACCAAAATAACTTCATATAAGACTGTTCTGTTTTTAAATTGTTCAGCTCAGAGAAATTATGCATTTAAGGAGTTATTTTTTTGATTTGGCAAAAGGACCAAATGTTTTTACCAGGACAGATTTGTAGCTTTCCAGCTATACACGGTAGAACACAGAACAGAAGAAAAAGAAAACATAGAAAGAAAGAAATGCTAGATACAACTACCAAATATACTAGTTTTTTGAGAAGAAGCAGGTTGATGCTGGAAAATAATCTCCAGTTAAGTGAACTTAAACTCACTAGCAAGAAGGCTGTCTCCTTCTTTCCTGTACTTTTCTCAGAGCCACTGATCAACAGATCCCACAGACTGATAACCTAGTTACTGAGTTTGTCTAGTGTTGAAAGTCATATGAAAAACTTAAAAAGTGGACTGCTCACCTAGCCACATGCGTATAATACTCATGTAGTCCTTATTTTTGGCAGAGAGAAGCTTGTCATATGAGGGACAGCCTGCTAGAAGGATGCGGTCATGGTCTTCACACATGGCTATCAAATGCTGCTCTGCACTCCTCGTGCAGCACACATGGTAATGGGCCAGTTTGGTTATAGCATGTCTGATAGAGTCATCAATGGTCCCACTGACTTCTCCACCTTCAATGTGAAGAATACGAATATTCATCAGGGCTGCAGATGTGGCCAGGGCCAAAGCATCAAATCTGTCCCCATGAACTATCATTATGTCAGGTTTCAGGCGGTTCAGGACATCTGGTAACTTGACTAATGCAAGGCCTACTGACTCCACCATAGCTGCCTCATCCTCCCCTCTCACAATGGTGTGCAATCTTGTATGAATATCGAAATCATCTTGTTCAATCATACGATAGGTATTACTGAAAGTAAGAAGAAAAGGGTTAGAGTAAATACAACTTGGTTTTACAGCAACATAGCTTGACAAAATAACGGCATATTGGAGTAGCTGGGTTTGAACAAATGTCTGTTTATCACACCTCCTTCACTGAGGAAACTAGTTTTTAACAATTTAACAATGTTCCCATCCACATGAAGATCTTCCCTCATATTCCAAGCATCAAGTTTTTCTAGACACCTTTAATGAGGAGCTTTGCTGAACATGTTCTGGAAATCCTCAGAAATCAAACTCTTTGTTCATGTGTTTGTAGAGCCTTTCAGGGAACAGATACAGCATGATTTCCTTTCAGGAAAGGTATGTTAACTCCTCACCAACATATCGGCTTTGCTGGACAAATGTACAAATAAAACGGATATAATGCAAAGCTGAGGCCTGTAAGTTCAAGGACAACATCCTGCAGCTAGCATCCTTTTTTCAGATTCTGTATTTGAGCTGTGTCAAGACTTATATACTCATAGACTTAAGAAATCACTGCACAAAGAGGCCTTAAGTTCAAAGGAAACAGGCTTTTGTACTAAAAAGGTTTTCCACACATACTACCAGCTTCATTTCATAATGAGAAAATTAAAACATACCTTGAATACTGAGAATTGTAATTGTTTACAGTTACATATTTGAAATACAAAAGATGACACATCTGTGTAAGATTACCTGTCTTCCACATTCACTAAACGTGACCTAAGAAGTCTGCATGCTCTGTCTGGAGTAAAAGACAAAACTCAGAAGTTTTCCAATTTTGTCTTCAACCCATCTCACACATTCACTGTCTTACTCAAAGGATTACACTTCTGAACTGATTTAAATCAGATTTAATTTTCATTAAACCCAATCTGCTACTCATGTTCTGCAAATGAAAATCTCACAATCTGCAAGCTGAGCAGACAGCAAAGACTATAAAGTGCTCCAGCTCAAGTAAAAAAGCAATCTCCATTCTGCGTAACTAAAGAAAACCCTATCTATGTATTCAATTCCACTCACTGCTGTAACACACATAGGATATATTCCTACAAGTAGCTTCTCAGGTAATTTGTTTTTTTTTAAAAGGCAAATTCTTTTCATGTGACTGAAGTGGCCCAGATTTTTATAGCATAAATTGCACTACATTTCGAACTCCGTTTACAATTATTCTTCATAGACCCTTTTTCCCTACTATGTGCATTTATCTTTAAAAACTTTCATCTCTTTTTTTTCCTACATTCTTTTCATTCTGAAAGGTCAAAATCTAGGGAACAAACAAGACTGTGCATTTTTGGTGTTCTGTTTCTTCTACTATCCTCCAAACATTTCAGTAAGAAACATTTTGTGGGATCACTATACTTTGAATACTGTTACTGTTTATTACCCTACTCAAATCACTAGAACACATATGTTTTGAGGACCCACTAATTCTCTAGGATCCCCGAGATTAAGGAGTGCAGGGCTGGGTCCCCCAAAAAACCCCAAGCAGTACCAAGGTTCAAGAATACTTACCACAAAGCAACTAACAGCACCAACATTTATCAGATCAAAATCTCTACTGCTTTGTGCATTACAAATTATTTATATCACAGAGACAGGTGTTAAAACACCTTGGAATTGGAAAAGTACTATTTCATATTACTTCGCACAAGTCAGCAAAGGGTTCAGGACTATAGAAAAATCAGGGCAATGTTCCTCCTCTTCAGCAAATGAAATGGGATTACCTTATTTCTCCAATCAGACAGGTTGTAATTCAACAAGCTAACCTGGCAAGAAGTTTGATTGGTTTTTTTGTTTGTTTTTTTTAAATCAGGTTAATTTTGTGGTGTTGAATTCACCTTGCAATACTATTAGATGGAAACAATGTCCAGTACAAAGCAAAGCAGAGAGTACTACACTGAGAATGGGCAGCAGTGGAACCTCCTATCTTAGTAGTTTGAGATGATATAACTTCCTCATACCCTAACTTATAAAGTGCCAAAACTTCTCACTGGGAAGTCCAAAAAGTGTCTTTACTTGAAGATATGCATAACATTTCTAAAAGTTCAACAATGCTAATATGCTGCAAGCCTTATGCTAAAGTCCAATTTTGACTTGCAAAGTAAGTGTTTTCCCACCTGTGTCACTAACTGGGCCCAATCTGGTAAATGCAGCCTGAGTAAACCAACCAAACAACAACCAGCAAGAATATGCATGCTGTTTCCTTCTGTCTTTTCCCCAGCAAATAGGAAAATATTCACCCTGGATGTGGGAATTCCTTTGAAAGGAAGGGATTTGGAGCAAGACATTCCATCCTTCCAGGCAAATGATTTGACTGCTTACTTATAGGGTGTTACGGAGGGGACCCTAATCTCTCCTGCCAAATCATACCTAATATATCTATCAGTTATTCATTTTGTCAGAAAGAGACAACAAGCCTTTCCTTCCTCCACAATCCTGGAAGTAAGAACTAACAGTATTCCCCTGGGATATGGAATATGTAAGTACTTTCTCCAATAACTATGCAAAGTAGAAGAACTGCAACTTAAAATGACTGAAGATCATCTTTTCTCTGTGAAATTTAAAAACTGTAGCACATTTTCACTCGATAATCACCAGATTCTTATGGATATCCGAGTGAATTGAGTTTCTCACTTCATATAGTCTGTGATCCTGTTGAAGATCTCAATTACAGCATTTACACAAAACTTTCCAAAATTCCAAGACTGGTTGCAAAAAATCCCAGAAATATGCAATCTCAGAAGCAGCTTCAAAATGCACTAAAATTTAATAAAATAAATTAAAATTTTTTTTGTGTACACTCACCACGACAAGGATTTTGTTACCTAACATCCATGATGTTATTGCTAACACCCCAGAAACAGATTGGCAGAGACAGAAAAATTCACCTTACCCATAATCATCGATCAGGTGGGAACCAAGTACTACGACATCAAGCTCAAAGAACTGTGGTTCTGCCTTAATACCAAACATAATGGGAGCTAATTTTGAATAATCAGCACGGTTGCAAGTAGCAACACAAACACGAAGTTTGTGGTTGTTTCCATTCTTCTCCATGACTTCCTTTTGTTTCTGTTTTGAAAGATTCTTGAAATACACTTCCTGAAATAATAGGGGGGAAAAAAAAAACCCAGCAGCATTAAAAAAAACCTTTATAGCAAGTAAATGGTACACTTCATGAACAGCATATACAAGCGCAGCCCAGAATTGTGGACACTTACTAAGTCAACCATTGATAACAGTTAACTAATACCTTACAGTACCTACCATGAGAAGATTTAGAAAAGGACAGATTTTTAAAATTTTTTTTTTAGTTAAAGCTCACTTAATCTTAATACCTCTATTTCTATAAATAATACATACAAATTCTATATAAACAATATTTAAGTATTATGAAGTTCAACTGTAATTAAACAGTAAAATGACTTTTTCCTGTTCAGATGGAAACTTGTATATTTTCTGAAAAAATTATTGGTGCCTTAGTCAATGAAAGAAAAAAAATCTCATATTCCAAAACCACAGAATGGAACAAACTGCTAAAAGATACATCCACTGACAGACTCTTTGAACAAAAAGAGAAAGTTTTTGCCCAAGTCAGTTTACATATCTGTTAAACATTGACTTTTAAACCTTTCCATACTGTTTCGCAGACCAAAGTACATCAAGATATTAAATAATACAATATTAGGTTACAATAAGACAACAAATTTTGGAGACAAGTACACAAATAAGGATGATTATCATCATCGGGCAGTCTGGAGGCTATTAAAAAAATAAAGGGTTTCTCACAATTGAAATGCCATAGAAATTCAGTATTTTTACAAGTGACATCACTAGTTACTGTAACAAGGTATTTTCTCTAATCCAATTTTGCAGCTTGTTTAGTAGCCAATTAAACTATGTAATAATTTTTCAAGTTTACCTATCCTCTGTTTACTATTTTGCCTTGCTGGTTTTATTGTGGTTTTGTTTGTTTGTTTTTAATTTAGCAATTGGGAAAAAAAATTTGAGAGATAAAGAAAAGCCTATTAAAAAAGTATACAGCAATAACTCCCTGAAAATAACCCAAATTTCCTCTCCCTCCAAACAAAAACTACTAGGTTGGTAACAGAGGGTACCAGACCAGCTACTATAAGTTTTCTGTTGTTCTCCTTCTGAAAATAACTGTATTTTAAGTAAGTACCACCCTTTTGGTATTAAATCTAATGTTATGTCGCAATTTTTTAGTCCAGTTTAATGGCAAGTAAACTTTTCCCAGATCAACGCACAAGGATTGCTCATTTCTGACTCAGAGCAGTATAAATCTCTCTACTGGTTTTGACAGCTAGGGAAGCTCCTTCTGAGCAGCTGCTATGCAAGCATGAGAATCTTGACATACAGTTTCATGCTCTGTTTATATTACGTTTAATTGTTTTCAGTAAATTTTTAGAAGAAAGGCTATTGTGACATCCCACTCTTATGAAACTTAGAAAATTCAGCAACTTTTCAAAGTTTTTTTTAAACACTGATTAGTTTAGGTTTTATCACACATAATGAAACAATGTTTTGGTATAATAGTAATGCTAGGGTGATCAGGAACCTATCCCAAGTGGTCAAAGGTAAGAGACATTTCTATTCTCCACTTGCAATCTCTTATGGCTCTGCAAAACTATGACTGGCAGTGATGTTTCTTCTAGTTTAACTCCAACAACCATGATTCCTGACAGAGCAGTTTACACTACCTTTCAGAATAAAACTGAAGCAAAGACGCTGCCATGGCTAAGCTCATAAGAAATGGCATTTTTCACTTATTCGAGCAAAGCAGCTATGGCTATGCCAACCAACTTCAGTAGAATAGACACAGCCTGGAATTTCAGCATTTCAGTACTGTAATGACAAATTAAGCTGAGTTCTATGGATTCAGCCATAAAGTAAGAGATATTATTTGGTTTACATTGAGCCCCTTCATTTGAACCTTACTTCAAAAGTAGTATGTTAATTAATTACCATTTTACACTTTCAAAGGGTCAAATGATAATCCTTCAGGCAAAGTAATTATTTCATGCTGAAAACATCTGCAGTTATGTGACTATATGATGGCTTTTTAAATTGAATCTTGTCTTTCTTTTTGTCCAACAGGCTTGAAATATTTTAAATGCATGTAAGAAATTCAGTACCTCATGTTGAAAACGTAGAGAGTACTTTGCAGGATTTTAGATGCTGTATAAAGGTAGGTCAGAGAGCACGTTATCCTGTATCACTGAGTGAAACCTGAAACCACATTAGCTAGACACAGGTCTAACAGAACCACTGCTTTCTCATTTCTAAAACAACCTCTTTTTGGAGATGGTTCTGAGCAGGACATCCTGTCACTGTATATGTAAAACCAGCTACTAATTCAAATAAAATCATTTTCAAGATGTGAAGGCCACTTCTGACATACCTATAAGCTTATCTTTGAAACTGCTTGAATAATATTAGTATAATCAGAAGTCAATCTCTCACAAGACGCTTCAAGTCAGCCACTGCTGCATACATATTCTATACTATGTAAACTAAGAAGCCAAAGTAAAAGGGCACAGAATAAGTAAGTGACAAAGTGAGCTTACGCAAAATCTGCTTACTCCCAAGTTACCTGCCTGAGCTAGAACCATCACTTCCCCTTTGACTAAGCAGTTATCTTTTCATTTATGCAAAGCAGGCTTTTAGGAAGCAGAATAGTTTTCTGTCCTCCTTGATCTTCAAGCAGTGTCTAAAATTCTAGAACCCTTCAATCCAAATCCTGAAAATACCATCTCCTAAAATAGTAAGTTGTAAAAAAAATAAAAACTCATGATTCACCACAACCACAGATCAACCAGAATTTAACTGCTAGATCACACATCTTTCTGGCCACACAGATCACATTTAATTACAGTTGCTCTTGGCTGCAATAATGGTCTCCTGAAATAATTTGGAGATAGATGTGGAGATACTTCAAAGGCATATGAACTGACCAGAATCAAAAGCAATTTGTGCTATTTGTGCATTGCAACTTCTGTTAACATTAGGCTTCAGTAAGCCCCAAAGCAGAATTATTTTGAGTACTGCCTTAAACCTCTGTAACACAACAGTTCCAAAAAGTTGCAAGTAAGCCACACACAGGCCTTGGTCCAGACACAGTTTTTCTACTGCTGTCAGTTTTAACACATGTTTTTCTGAAGAACTAAAATATTTACCCTAGTTAAAGGACTGATAACAATCCAATGTAAGTGTTAACTACATGGGGAAATTTACTCCTAATTAAACCAGTTTATTGTTCTTCAGCTTAAGTTCTATGGTAATTGCTAAAGAAACATGTGATGTATTACTACATCAGTTTAAAACCAGACAGAATTCTATCTTGACTCTGACCTATTCTGAGCCTGTAAATGCAAAAATAATTCTGTATTTTCAGATAGCATTCACTGTCAACAAGTAATGGCAAAGTCCCTTCAACCATTAACAGTACATTCCTTCAAGCAGAGCTGTAATGTCCTAGCTACATCACTTGAAGTTTGTTACCACTGTCTTTTTAGAATTTATTAACAGGTTTTTCTGAAAAGAGATGATTAGACTGCAACTGTTCACTGAAATTCTTTTAAATAATTAATCACTAACAGTTGCCTCTTAGGCCTCTTAGTTTCTAGGTGTTTGATGATATACTGCGTTTGATCTACACAGCCTTCTCTAGTCTGGGATCTTCCTGTTCCAAGGTCCACCTCTTCCACCTTGCTGGGACTAATAATCTTCAGCAGAAAGGAAAAGAAATAAAACAGTGCTCCATGAAGGACTACTTGAAATAATTAATCTTTACTTGTTTTGGTCTCCTGCTCCTCTGTATCCCATCATAAGGCTTTCAGACTATTAGAGGTTGAAGGACTGCTTAAGAGTGGGGAATTCTGGGCCAGATTTTACAGCAACCAAGTAGCTACCATTTCTGTTAGCAGTCTCAAGTGCATGAGACACCCCTTTACCAGTGTTTCACAGAAAAACGATACCATCTGTGTAGTCTACATTCACATTTCTAACGCAATGATTTTCAAAATCAGAGCCTCGAACGCTCCTCTTTACAATCTCTACACTGTGCATATGCCCGTGTGCTTGTGGAATCATTCAACCTTCCCCGGAAAAGACACGCGCGCCTTTCCGTTTGCGGGCATCACGGAGCCCTGCAGCCCCCCAAGACACACACATGCAGTCGTGCCCTGGCAAGGCCATTCCCGC